CTTGATGAGGCAAAAATTCCTAAGTATTTTTGGGCGGATGCCGTGAGTACCGCGAGCTACGTGTTAAACCGAGCCGTCATTAGACCGATACTCATGAAAACCCCATATGAATTATACAAAGGAAGAAAGCCAAACCTCTCCCATCTTCGAGTCTTTGGTTGCAAATGTTTTGTTCACAATAACGGAAAAGATAATTTGGGTAAATTCGATGCAAAGTCGGATGAAGGAATTTTTCTTGGTTATTCATTGCGTAGTAAGGCTTATAGAGTCTTCAACGAACGCACCTTAACCGTTGAGGAATCTCCTCATGTTGTCTTTGCCGAAAATGATGCTCGATTGGCGAGAAAGGTTTCTTGTGATGATCTTGTAGATTCGTTAGAGAACATCTATCTCAACGACAATGACGAAGGAGACAACTCAAAAGAAGGCCAAGACGAAGAAGTAGAGCCACCTATGAACGAGGAACGACCACAAGAGGAAGAAACGCAAATGCCAAGAGCATGGAGGACTTTAAAGAACCATCCTCTTGACAAGGTAATCGGTGACATCAACCGAAAGGTAAGTACTCGTAGCTCTCTTAGGGACACCGTAGGTCACATGGCTTTTGTTTCTCAAATTGAACCTACAACCATTTCGGAAGCAATTGATGATGAACATTGGACCTTGGTAATGCAAGAGGAGCTTAACCAATTCAAACGAAATGACGTTTGGGAATTGGTGCCAAGACCCGATGATCACACCATAATTGGTACAAAATGGGTGTTCCGTAACAAACTCGACGAAAATGGAATAATCACTAGAAACAAAGCTAGGCTCGTAGCTAAAGGCTACAATCAAGAAGAAGGCATTGATTTTGAAGAAACTTATGCATCGGTAGCACGTTTAGAAGCTATTCGTTTATTACTTGCTTTTGCTTCATCTATGGATTTTAAACTATACCAAATGGATGTTAAGAGTGCCTTCCTCAATGGGTTGATTCAAGAGGAAGTGTATGTTGATCAACCCCCGGGCTTTGAGGATTTTGAGCACCCGGAGTATGTCTATAAACTAAAGAAAGCACTCTACGGTCTTAAACAAGCACCTCGTGCTTGGTATGAACGTTTGAGCAAATTTCTTTTGGACAACAGGTTCAAAAGGGGGAAGGTTGACACTACACTTTTTATCAAGAGTAAAAACGATAACATCCTCTTGGTGCAAGTTTACGTAGATGACATTATATTCGGTGTTACTAACGAATCTTTGTGCAAGGAATTTTCAAACCTAATGACAAATGAATTTGAGATGTCCATGATGGGGGAACTCAATTTCTTTTTGGGCTTACAAGTCAAACAAATGAGGGAAGGAACCTTCATTTGTCAATCAAAGTATTGCAAGGAGCTCCTAAAGGGATTTGAAATGGATGGCTCCAAAGCAATGGCTACCCCAATGAGCACCTCCGAGCACTTGGACAAAGATGAAAAGGGTAAGGAAGTAGATGTAAAGAAGTATCGAGGTATGATCGGATCCCTTCTTTATCTTACCGCTAGTAGACCCGATATCATGTTTAGCGTTTGTTTATGTGCAAGGTATCAATCTTGTCCGAAAGAATCGCATTTAACGGCGGTAAAACGGATAATGAAATATCTTGTTGGTACAATGAACGTTGGACTATGGTACCCCAAGGGGTCTCCTTGTCATCTTTTTGGCTATTCCGACTCGGACTTT